AGTGTGAGAGAGTGTTCGAAGGAGGATTCTTACTATTGGAGCGTGAAGGCTTCACTTGGGGTTTAAAGGTAAGAGTCTCTACTTGTGAATTGGGATTACTTCACTCTTTTCTTTCTTCCTTCTAGATTCTTGTGAGAAGATCTGTCAAGGAGATCCGGTTCTCTGCCGACACTTGGAGAGTGTGAAAGGACGAAGGGTTCTCTGCCCACACTAGGAGAGTGTGAAAGGACGGAAGGGTTCTCTGCCCACACTAGGAGAGTGTGAAAGGACGAAGGGTTCTCTGCCCACACTAGGAGAGTGTGAAAGGACGGAAGGGTTCTCTGCCCACACTGGGGATAGTGTGAAAGGACGGACGGTTCTCTGCCAACACTGGGTATTATGTAAAAGGACGGACGGTTCTCTGCCGCACCGGGGAGTGGTGAAAAGAGTGTGTTGTAAAGGCTTCTCCGCCTTGCTGTGGGTGCAAAAGGAGAGTCACTATTGGTATTAGTGCAAAACTCAGAGGGTGCCTCTGGGGAGTGGATGTAGGTCTGGTTATAGACCGAACCACTATAAATCTGGTGTCATTTACTTTACTGTTTTTACATTTCCGCACTTTCTATTTCAGTTTTAAACAACTCTGTGGTTGAAAAACCTTTTTCTACAAAATTTAAAAGAGATTTTATTTCGGTTCAATAATTATAAAAAGGGGGTCTTAAATTTTAACTTTGTTTTTTAAACTTCCAATTCACCCCCCCTCTTGTAGCCTTGGGACACTCACTTAGGCTTAACAACCTAATTACTAGACTCAACAACCTCTTCCACACAGGTTAACATCATCGAGCAAAAGCTCTGACATACAACCTCAGATAGGTTATACATCATTGGTGGATTCTCTCGACCTCTTTCACAGATGTTAATGTCATTGAGCAAAATCTCTGACATACAACCTCGGATATGTCATACATTATTGGTGGATTTTCACGACCTCTTCCACAAAAGTTAGCATCATCGAGCAAAAGCTCTGAGATACAACCTCGTATAGGTCATACTTCCTTAGTGGATTCTCTTGACCTCTTCCACACAGGTTAACATCATCGAGCAAGTGCTCTAACATACAACCTCAAATAGGTCTCACATTCATTGTAGATTCTCTCGACCTCTTTCATATAAGTTAACGTCATCGAGCAAGATCACTGACATACAACCTCAGATAGGTCATACATCTTTGTGGATTCTTTAGACCTCTTCCATACAGGTTAATGTTATCGAGCAAGGTCTCTGACATACAATCTCATATAGGTCTTATATTCTTGGTGGATTCTTGTGACATCTTCTACAGAGGTCAGCATCATCAAGTAATGCTCTAAATAAATAATTTTCTCTCAATAAAGATTCAATGAAAGAAAGTGGTTGATAAAATCATCACTCATATAAAGACCTTAACAGACTAACAGTGCATCCAAAAATATGTGGGGTAATATATCGAAGCATATCTCAAAGATTTATAAATAATTCAATTTACTATGAGGGAAAAATTCTTAACTTCATATACAATAAAGTTATATAAATTCAAATTCAGGTGTACATTTATTCTCATAAGAAGTTAAAATTAAATAGTATATTGGCATCATTTGTACAATCTATTATCATCCAACAACAAAAAAACTTCGAAACTGTCAAATATTCTTGGCATCATTTGTACATGTCTTCTCAAATAACTTTTTCTTCAAAAAAAGATTACAATTTGATCTTGATCGGGCCTCAACTCAGTTGACACTATAAGTGTGTCGCCAGACTACTAACCTAGCACACTG